TTCCTCAGCCATAAAAAGAAACGAAATTGAGTTATTTGTAGTGAGGTTGATGGACCTAGAGTCTGTCATACAAAGTGAAGTAAGTCAGGAGAAAAACAAATACCGTATGTTAACACATATATATGGAATCTAGGGAAAAAAAATGGTTCTGATGAACCTAGGGGCAGGACAGGAATAAAGACACAGATGTAGAGAATGGACTGGAGGACATGGAGGGGAGGAGGAAGGGGAAGCTGGGACAAAGTGAGAGAATAGCACTGACATATATACACTACCCGATGTAAAACAGATAGCTAGTGGGAAGCAGCCGCATAGCACAGGGAGATCAGCTTGGTGCTTTGCGACCAGCTAGAGGGGTGGGATAGGGAGGATGGGAGGGAGGCTCAAGAGGGAGGGGATATGGGGATATGTGTATATGTACAGCTGATTCACTTTGATATGCAGCAGAAACTAACACTGCATTAACTAACTAACTAACATTGCAAAGCAATTATACTCCAATAAAGATGTTTAAATAAATAAATAAATAATGAAAAAAGTATTTGCTGCCTTAGTAAAAGTACAATATTGATCTCTTCTTTGAGCTTGGGAAAGGAGAACATAAACAGAATATTTACTGGACATCCAGACATCATTTGACCCCTCTTCTCTGTTCTCTCAACCTCTTTCCCTAAGGGCTTAGGTGTGACTTTTCTCTGTTGTCCTTTTCAGGACACTGATTCTTGGGTGGATATCTTACAAGCCTCAAGTGACCTTGGGTGCTTAGAGACTCTCCACTGGTCCCTGGATTCCAACAAGGCATCATTAGCATTTGAGTGACTGGAAAAGAGTTTGCAGCCTGTGTTTTAGGCCACATGTTTATCATAGTGTGTATCTATCCCCCATCAGGTAATAGGTGCCCTGTCCCCTTCAGGTCCTTCTTAGAGGGTTTGCTGTATCTTTTTTTTTTTTTTTTTTTTGCGGTACGCGGGCCTCTCACCGTTGTGGCCTCTCCCGTTGCGGAGCGCAGGCTCAGCGGCCATGGCTCATGGGCCCAGCTGCTCCGCAGTACGTGGGATCCTCCCGGACCGGGGCATGAACCCGTGTCCCCTGCATTGGCAGGCGGACTCTCAACCACTGCGCCACCAGGGAAGCCCGGTTTGCTGTATCTTTGTAGGAGCTCCACTGAGCTTTACTTTTTTTCCTCCTAGATGTGAAATACAGCTTCTCCCTGTTCCTACTGATTTCTGTCCCTAATTCCTGAGAAATCATGGAAGAGTTTCTTCACTGGTGCAGTCTGCAACAGACATGCATACTTTCTATATTCCAAACAAATAGGGGTTTCTTCTGCCTTACAGAGCCCAGGTATTTTTTTCCTTGAATCCACCACACAAGAACTAAGGTCTTCCTGTTGCCATGTGGTCATATTTGTATCACATTTGTGACCATGCCACTCTATTTCAGAAGAAAAAATAGTTGTCATAGTCTTTAATGAGCACTCCATTCTTAGTATGGAGGGAAACTACTTGTCCCCAAATGAGGGAAACCACTTACACCGTTCCCTGGGATTCTGTCTTTTGAGAATTCAGTGTTTGGTTGGGGGAGCTGAGTCACACCTGTATTTACTTTAATTCTGCAGTTCCTAACTGGTGACACAAGGTCAGACATCATTTTCTCATGGCAACTAGTATTACCTTCCTCTCTTTCTTTGCCCAAATTAAGCTTCACTCACAGCAAAGCTCATGGGTATCCCTGCACTCTCTGATGAAAGTCTGTTTTCCTGAATAGTCTTCACTGTGAACTACTCTCAGCAAGTGCTCAAACCTGGTCTGATTTTTCGAATTATGCTCTGTAGTGCCTTGTCATGGGACACACTGCAAAGAGGTCTTTCATCTTTCTGCTAATGTGCAGTCAGAAAGAAACCTGGTCTATGCATGTAGGAAGCTCTCCACATTACCTGAGCTCTGACTCTTCAGACTTTGTTAGGCATTCTGTTGGGGTAGCATCTGAGGCTGGTGGTCTCACACTTATAATTCCTATGGCTGGAAGACTTTTCATTGATCTCTATCGCTTTTCTGCCCCAGAAGCCTGCCAGTCCTCTAATATTTCAGTGGTGTGTCTAAACACAGTGCAAAATCCTCTTCTCCAGTTTCTGAAAGTGTTTCTGCAGTAGCACTGGACCAAGGGTTTCTGTCTTTGACTGATAACCACCCTCAGAGTAGATTCCCATTCTCATGGGAATCCTGTTTCAGCTGGCGAACGTGGAGGATTTTAATTCATCCCTAGTATATTGCTAACGATCTTTTTTTAGTCTTCCAGAAAAGACTGATTTTTCTAAGAATTCATGTGCTCATGGTGACTGGAATGGTTATCAGTTTCTTACCTGCTCTTTCACATAGGGAGTTGTAAGTCTCACCCACTCCAGTAATGACACTTAATGCTCTATAAGCCTTTCCATGCTGAACATCTCATCTCAAATGGAACATCCCACCATTTGATCTCAGAGGAGTTGCCATAGCTTCTTATCTGATTATGAATCAATAGTTCAGGATCATCATGAACCAGTCTAAACTGCCAAGCACCATGTATCCTAGCATTAGATAATCGTGAAGAAGAAATGTGCACTATTGACGATTCAGTCCTAGGGTGATTATTCAGTAAGAGATACAACTGGGCACTGTACCTTAGTTCAGACAGTTGATTTTTCAAACAAAAAGCTAAGGTATACTCATAGTCTAAAGCTTAATTAGTTTAGGGAAGAAATGGAAAATGTTTATTTACCATACTTATTTTTTAATTGTCAAAAATAACCACAAATCCTTTAGTCATAAAGAAATAAAAATTGCTGTTAACAAACAAAGCCAGATGTGGATTTCTCCCTCATTATTGCTCAGCTATTATATTTTTGATAATTTTTACCTTTCACTTAAACCTATAAAATCACAAGATACAGATCATTTTATTTTTAAGTAGACCGAAATCTAACCTCAAATTTTCCACACTCAAACTTCAAAGAAAATGTAGGCATTTTAGCAAATTTGAATTTTGAGCAAATTCTTCCTAGAAGTGATTTACAGTCACATGAGGATGAGACTTTTCAGCTGTCTTTTTATATATGTTTTTTTGGTTGGTTTTTTTTTTTTTTTTGGTTGTTTTTTTTTGTTTTGTTTTTTTTCATGTGGGCCATTTTTAAAGTCTATATTGAATTTGTTACAATATTTCTTCTGTTGTCTTTTATGTTTTGGTTTTTTGGCCGTGAGGCATGTGGGATCTTAGCTCCCAGACCAGGTATCGAACCCACATCCCCTGCGTTGCAAGGCGAAATCTTAACCACTGGACCGCCAGGGAAGTCCCGATATATGTTTTCTCTCTGAAAACAAGAGCACTTATTGATGCCTTTTTAAGAGATGTAATACTGAGGTCCTTTATAGTTTTAGTTTAACATTTTGGTAAAATGTTTACTCATTACATTTACATTACTCTTTGCATAATTTTTTTTTGGTTTGTACAATATCATTTTCTTCAGTTTATTTTCAAGTATGATGATGAACTACATTAACCTTCCATCTGGAAAAGAGTGTTGCAGAAGCCAATTAACTTAATTTTGTGATTAAAAAAATTTTAATCATAATAAATTGTATTATATCATCTTATGAATTATTATATACTTTAAGAGTATTTTTTCTATAATTTCTACCTAACATTCTTTTCTGTATTACATTTTATTAACTCTAGGGAAGAAGAACAAGTAACTTGGGGAAATAACATAAAATTAAAGCTACTAATTCCTAAGAAAATTAAATTTAATGTTGACATAATTGAGACTGAACGTTCTGTGTATAAAGTATTCCACCATAAAGCAGTTGTAAACTTGATGGAAAAAAAAAAGACTTTGCTTTGCTATGGATTTTGCCATCCATCTTTTTTTTTTTTTTTTTTTTGGTAGGGGGAGGCAGTATGTTGAAATTTCAAGGCATCATTAATTTTCATAGCCAATGTAAAGTATGTTATCTGTGTTTGAAATATTTTTTATAACTGCTTATAGAGATGTTGATTTGATCAGATAGCAAAAATAAAAATAAAGATTTCTTTCCTATATAGAGTGATTTTTAATTTAACTGTAGTTAATATTGTTAATAGAATCCAGTAATCAAATACAGGGTGTTTGGAACCTGATCTTACAGTAAGTGCTATCGTGCTAGGAGCTGAGAGATAGTGATCTTTAAATATGAGGTTATCGAGAGTGCATCTCATTTATTATTGGCACCTGCTACTTAATTAAGGTGTTATGATTGCTCATGGTGTGCTGAGATTACACGGAAGAAAACTGTTTCTGTGATTGTCCCTTTTTTTGTTGGCTCTGAATTATCTTCTCTTCTACATTCCATTTCTGCTATCATTTCTAATAGCTCTGCCTCACCACCACATCCTAAACTATGATGTAGGGACCATGATTACATCTAAATGTGTTCATACTAATGACCCTCCACTTCCAAATTTTAATACAGGGTTTAGAGAAGAATGGATAGATTTAGAAGCTTTTGAACATTGATGAAGGTGTCTTTGCACATTTGCATTAAAATACTAATGCATATTAATAAAACACAAATCTGCAGTAGTTTTCTTTTGTGACAGAACGGAACAAATATTAAATACTCTTTGGGTGGGAGACTGTTTAGAAAGAGAGCGGTTACTCTCTCACATGTTGAACTACGAAAGTCAAGAATATTTTAACTAGCACAATCCTCTGGGGTTCCTGCTTCTCAGGTCTCCCTTCTTATATAATTATGGAATATTCAAAAAGGTTTACTTTTGTGATTGAGCTTATTATTAGTGTGCCTATTTTTATGTTATTCTCTGGGATTGGGGGGAGGAAGGAGGAAATACACATTTAGTGAGAGCTATTCATTAGCCACCATTGAAGAAGAAATTGAACTTTAAAGAATCTATCAAAAATTCTCTGGTGAGCCTTTTATTACTATCTTGTCTTGAGCCCTTTTTTTAATGACATCTATTATCAGATTGAAATGGCGATTGAGACGCTGCAAAAGTCTGACGGTCTGTCCACTCACAGAAGCTCTCTTCTCAACAGCCATGTAAGTTGCCTCTTCTTCATGTAAACTAATCTCTTGCTTGTTCTGCATGTGTTGCTTGCTTCTAAATGCTTGTTTTATTTATTTACTTATTTATTTTGCTTCTTAACCTTCCTTTCTCAGCCCCTTATGATCTCTGTATCACTTAATGGCAATTTTGCACAGTGGAATATCTAAAAATAGAGCCCCCAATATACTACTTCACTAGGTTTTTTTACTGTTTTGGTACAGATATATTTCCAAGTTAATAACAAGCTACCAAATATTGGTAAAAAGTAACTGATGATTTAAATTTTTCTAGTGTGATATTTATTTACTGTGAAGCAAATGTTTATAATCTGCATCTTCGAGTCTGAGACAGAGAAATGGTCGTGTCTGTTTGTATGACCAGTAATATTCTTTAAGTGGAAAAAAGATTGTTAATGCCGAACCCAATGATAAACTGTTCGAAATGATTTATTTACCAGTAAGACTATATAAAATGAGCAGGAAACAGCTACCTAGATGAGCTCAGGTCCTAAGACCTAAAGAAAAATGAATCTGGGCCAAAAGAAGAAGTGAGATTCTAGATAAGCCATAAACTGCCAATAATTCAGATAAAACAGGATTATTGTTACTATTTTTTAAAGCTTTTAACTGTTACCAGATGCAGCATCACTACAACATCGGTGAGTGTAAGAAGAATGATGACAATTTGTGAAACTATAAACATTTTCATCAAATGTACAAATTTTGGGGACTCAATGAAAATGTTGATTAAAAATTATTTTGTTATCATGATTTCTGAATATATGGGAAAAAGTAAATAGACCTATGATTTAAATCTGTCTAGACAGTTCTGCTGAATTAATGTCAGTAACAATATAGTAAGAATTAGAGTTTTTCCTCCCAGCTGACAGTGTATTCTTAAATTTGGAGATAAAATTATTATTTTTAATTCTTCCCCATATTTTGTGACTGAAAAGTCCAAAATTGGATCACCCAAGTGAAATAAAATATCATTATTTTTTTCAATAAACCTGAAACATTTAGCTCATAGAAAATGTTTCACTGTGCTTTTTAAATATTTGAATTTTCAAACATTTAAATTTTATATTCCAACATAACACAAAATACTTCCTTATGTTCTTACACATTTATTTTTAGATGAAGTGGTTTGTTTCTTTTTCAAAGGGAAGTATATCATGACAAATAAAAACAAGTTAACCTACTTGGAGAATGACTACAATTTTGATGAAAATTATAGATTCTAAATTATAAAACAATATATACCTTGGCCCTTCTTTTGAAAGTTTAAGGAATATGATTTTTCCCCTTTCTGAAAGTTTGTATGCAGTACATCACTCTTTTATATGTTTCATAGGTATATTCCTGCTGTGCTAGCATGAGTCTGTGGTTGTGTGTAGAGACTGATTTACTCTCTACTTTTAGGATGTATGTTTTGGGGAGGGGGTGAGGACCATCTGGTGTTTTGTTTTGAAAATGGCAAGGGAAAATGTTGTTCATTTTTAGTTGAAAATGTGCAGGGATATAAGAAAAAGAATCCTGAAATTTCCAGTTACCTTTTTTGAACTTTCAGACTTCTATGAAGTTGTGCTTTGATATTCAATTCACATCTCATTGTCATTTGAGATATATACTTCAGTAAAATATGTGATGTGTTTAATTTTAACTTGAGTTACCCATCTTAATTAGTATTTTTATGAACAATAATGTGGATATAAGAACATTTTTGTATATTTTTATTTGTTGGTTTTTTGAAACTTTTCAAATATGTTTTTTTTATTGTTATTCTCTTGTAAAATTCATGAAGTAATATTTAATGTTAATGAATGTGTGAATTAAGCTGCATAAACAACAGTTACATGTTTGTTACTCTATGGCTTTGTACTTTTTATTACATAGCATGGCAACTCTTCCATACTGTTTATAACTCCCAGAGGCATTTCAGTATATACAGAGTGGGCATAAATGTTGCTAATGTAGTGATAATCTTTCTCTAAATATCTTGATTCACTTTTATTACACCTCCGAGGTACAGTTAAGTTTATTTAAAAGCAACACATTTATAGTCAAGTCTCTGGAAATACAAAGGATTCTAAAGATGGTTATAAACAGTGGAGAAGGGATCAGTGTTTTCTGCTGACCGGTCAGGTTTTGTTTCCACCTGAACCCATTAGAAGATCATGCTGTCTTTCTGTCCTTGGAAAATTAGCAATGCTCCTAATTTTTATTAGATTTATCCAAGCAACTGGCATAAGCTACTACATGCATTCCAGTTGATAATCACCTGCTAAGGGTATTTTAAATTCTGTTAAAACCTAATTGATGATTTTCAGTTGTGTAGGAAAATTTTAGTGGCGAGGGTTTTTTTTAATTTAAATATGGCTAACAACTTAAATGTTAATAAGCTGTAAGTTATCTTTATCCCTTCCTATATAGCACATAATATAGAATCATTTGAGGTTTGTGGAATTCTTTGAAGTGGACATAAATTCAACCTTATAATAATAGTTCCCTGACATCAGTTTCTACAAAGGATCAATTTCATTAGGCAAAATTTAGGAGAAATTATCAATAATTTGTGTCCCATACTTACTAGTTTCCAAAGAGGGATCTCAGTCATGATTTTTGAGCTGAAAGTTTGTTGTCATTCTATTTTGCAATATGGAATAGATGGATTTTCTATTTTCTCTTTATATATTCGATTATTCACAATAATTTGGAAAATTCTTATTAGGATAAAATCAAATAAATAATCCCGTGTTGGTATAATCCAACTTGATTTCTTTGTTTTTCACCTCTCTTTCTACACATTAGAAGATTTAGTGAGGTATTAAATTTTATAACCCTTTTTCAACATATTCTTAAGAGTATTTTGTACTACTGGTCTATTTTTATCATCATCATGCTCTTATCATCCAGGTCAAAAATGCATGTATAACTTGCCTATTTCATACCCAACATAGTGCCTCATCTGTGACTGAGTAGTTACACTGAGTGCCATGTTGCCTTCTATTAACATTATTAACATAATGGCACTTATTCCAGTAGTAGCATTATACAGGCAGACAATAAATATTTATTGACAAGTGAAAATTCCAAGACAGTAAAGATTTTATATGTTTTATCCACTGATGCACCCCTGGTGCCTGGAACAGTGCCAGGTACATAGTAGGTGCTCACTAAATATTTGCTAAGTGAATAAATGTAAGAGACAAGTATTAGAAGGGAACAGACCTTATTTTGCCTTCAGTATTCTAAGTACCTTTGCCAATCATGTGTGCATTTTTTGGGGGACTCACACGTGTATTCTTTGTTACCAAGTATGCTTCAATTAGGTGTATGTGTGAGCATTGTTGATAAGACAATGGTCTCCCTGCACACCATTTGAGTGAAAGAATGTATGGCCGAGCTATCATTTCCCCGTGTACAACCTTTAGTTTTTTTTATTTAAATATTTTTATTTCTAAATTTTTTGGCACGTGAAGATGTTATGGGTAAATGATGTGTAGTCTGCCTAAATCAAATTAGAATATCTTAATTTTCTTCATTGCAGAGTTAAGTTTAATTTATACTTCTTCTCAGTTGTAAATAATATAAATTGGCATTAATGGTTATATTGTATCAAATTTGGGATATTTTAGATTATAAATTTAAATACAGAAACATTCTTAAATTAATTGTTCCCAAATTTCACGTAATGTTTTTCAGCTTGTGCATTTTTAAAATTCCATTTAAAGTATATAAAAAGCTTTAGGCATTTATTTTATATACCTTTTACTGTCTAGTAAATAATGATTTTTGCTGGTTTTAGCTACTGAAATATATTCAGCTCAAAGCAAAACCTTGTTTTATGCTTACTTTCTCTTGACTTGGCTGTGCTGTAAATATAAGTTATGATGGAAATAAGACCTGTCAAAATGCACATCATCAGTGAACTGAACTTAAAATGAATCCTAATGGATAATAATCCATCTGGGGGAAAATGCCAATGTTACATTTAGATGTTAATTGGGGAATGCAATAATGTATATTTTTTTAATTTGTCAATCAGTATTTCCCTTTGGGACAAATAGGAACTGTTCATCTTCCTTAATCTGCCCTGATTAATATAGATTAAATGCAAAGGTTGAAAGATGCAATTATCTTGGTTTCTACCCTTACGTGAATTTACATTAGTTCATTAGTAGAATAATCAGGTTTTAAATATAAAGGTTAAAAGTTCCTATGGTATTTCATGGGCTTTTAAAATCATAAATATAAACAAATATTTTATAAGACATCTTATAAAAGAGTAAAAGAAATAGCAATAGTTATTTCTAAATTACTAAATGTTAAGGGTATTGAATTAGTGTCCAAATACATTTTATAAAAGAGGAAATCCAAGGAAACAATATATCTTCTAATAGGCATGAACTTCCCTGGGGCAGCACGTGGAGTGTATACCTTCAGGTTACACTTAACTGCCAAGTTTCTCTTATAATAAAAATTAATCCTTTCTTATACTATGTTTTAGACTCAAAGATCTGACAGAATTTTATCACCGTGTCAAAACTCGAAGGTTAAATACTGGCATGTAGAATGCAGATTAATCCCCAGCTAAATCTCAAAATCTTATCTGGTAGCTCCTAAACCAATTTCCACTTACACAGTCAATTTGTGGGAGCACTACTCCTGGGTGTGCAGTTGTTGGCAGGCTTCCTAGTTGGAGCAGTCATGGCTGCAGCAGAGCCACCTCCATCTTTCAGGGCTTTTACCTCCGCTTGACCTCCTGCCCTTCCCAAGTGATCTCCAGGCTTCTGGGAAGGAATAAGAGTTCCTCCTCCTGCAAGCAGAGGGCAGGGAACAAAGTGTAGCTTTGCTACTGTGAAAGTGATAGTCACTAGAATACCTGCATACCCACTCTTGTGGAATTTTTCAAACTAACTAATGATTTTATATATATATATATATATATATATATATATATATATATATACATATACACATATGTATGTAAATATGTATACACATGTGTGTGTGTACACACACAGACACACAAATACATATTACAGATAAAGTCAGATTTTTAAAAACTGGATTAGAAATGAAGAAAAACCTTTAAGAATGTAAAATTATGTAAGAAGAACAATCAGTTTGCAAAAGAGCCAGTCCAGATTCTGGGACTTGCTTAGCCACTTCAGAGGACCATGTGGCCAATCCAATAAAAGCTTCGTTTTCTCCAGGTTATTCACTGGGGGCTTGAGTATATTATTCAGGCTTATGAGTATTTTATTTATTTTATTTTTATTTTTTTAATTTTATTATTATTATATTTTTGCGGTACGCGGGCCTCCCACTGTTGTGGCCTCTCCCGCTGCGGAGCAGAGGCTCCGGACGCGTAGGCTCGGCGGCCATGGCTCACGGGCCCAGCCGCTCCGCGGCATGTGGGATCTTCCCGGACCGGGGCACGAACCCGTGTCCCCTGTATCGGCAGGAGGACGGACTCGCAACCATTGCGCCACCAGGGAAGCCCTGGATCATGAGATATTAATAAACTCTCAGTTTTAGATATTTGTGTTTACTTTTAAGTAATTAAATATTGCAAGGTAAACAGTTAAGGCAGTTTACAGAAATTTTTAAGTTGTATCTGATTAATTAAACAAATTATTTTCATTTGATTTATATCTTATTAAAAGTATTTTACATCAGATCTATTTTATTATTTGTATACTTTTGGTTATAAAGTTCACATTATGAAATTGATTATTTTTCCATTTCTGAAAAAAAAAGCCCTTTAAATTAACGTTTCGTATATAGATATATGTTCTGTTCATTAGCAAAGGAAGAAATATTTGATTTTTTATTGATTTTTATTTTTTGTTAAGAAATATACCATTTTGGCTTTGACAATATGCCTTATTATTTGAGGATACATAGACATACATACAAACATATCTGTGACATTTTTAACTTACTGGCATTGTTCGATGCTTGTGGATGTGGGCACTTCATTAGTTCAGCTGCAAAATATTACTGTTTTTCAAAAAATACTTATAGTTTTTATATGCTTGCCCATTTTATGGTGTTTTTAAAAAATATTCCTTGATCTCAAGGGATTAAATTCCTCATAGAATATTCCTTTCTATATTCTGTGTTTCAATATTCTTTATTTCTATATTCTTTATATATTTAGAATACCAATGGAAGGCTCTATCTAGTATATGTACACAAAACAAGAGCCATCATTTGTGTGCAGTATGGTTCACTAGAGCTGCCCTAACACCATTCAAATGAGGAAACAATGCTTTCAGATCCCAGTCATCTTACTGAGGCACGTGGATGAAATATGTGAGGCAGGTTTGCTTTGCCACATTTTATGTGTCGTCTCTGTCAGTTGTTTCATAATCAACAAAGTCTTAAAATTTCAAAAGGAACACTAGAGACATACTGACCCACTGTTGTAGGCAGAATACTAGTCTGAGCCTTTATAACTGGATTTTCCAATCAGTTTACCACCTCTCTTTACACTAAATGAATATGTATATGTGAACTTATTCTATGTGTCATGTAGAGTACTCAGAAATCATGTGTGAATGCCTCTGGAAAACTTGTTTACTGACAGTAAGGTTACAGATGATTCATATGAAAAGAATTTTTTTTGACCTGTAAATTTTTTGGCCATTATAAAAATGAATGTTTATTTTGTGTAATCTTTTAAAAATTTCATAGGGGAGCGTTGTATATGTTCAGAGGCAATAGGTATATTTAAATGTATTCATATGTGTATGTGGTTCATAGAGAACCTAAAGGCTTCCTGACCAGAACATTAATTTTATTTTCATTTTTAAAACTACTCTGCTCTGTCATATAGGCTTGGTGGCCATATTTTCTAAGCCAACATCAAGTATAGGTTAATGACATGTTTAATTACATAAATATCATGTAGGAATATTTGAAATTAAAATTGTTCTGGAAAATTCAGCTGTCACGGTTAAAGAAAATAATTCTGACAATATTTTTAATGGATTTTCTTATTAAGAGTCTGAAAGTGTAGGTTCTAAGCTTGATCACAAATCTTAAAATATGTAAGCAAAATGGAGAAATGCTTTAGTTTGAGTGTTCTTATTATCATTTTTAGTATGTGACTGTAAATTCCTGGAGGACAGGAGTGAGGTCACATTCATTTTTACATCCGTAGGAGCCTAGCACGTTGCCTGACTGATAGTTGATGCTCAGTAAAGGAATTCTTTTCCTTCCATAACTTACATTTAACTTGAATTGCATGTAGAATATCACCTTTTTATCACACCTTCTATATATGGCATGGAAATTTGGTTGAGACAAGTAATGTGACATATATGCTGCTTTTGTAGAAATAATAACTGGTATGCAAATAATCAGGAAAGTGTGTTGGAAACCAGATCAAGCACTGAGATGGTGTATGTATGGCCTTAAGAAAGTCAGTTAAACCTATTTCAGTTCTCCTTTTATAAATAAATAATGAACAGATTGATAATTTGATTTTTCTAATGTTGAAACTCAGTACTATGTACATAAATTAGATTTTTCTAAAAATTTCCTGCACATTATGTACTTTACAGATTATTTTTTAAAAATTCAGACGGGACAACATAAAACTTTAAAATGTGAACTATAGATTGAGAAAACATTGCTTTACCAACTACCATTGTAGTATGTCTTCCAAAATTATGAAAAAACATAGCTTTGAGGTAGAAAAACTCAAATGATTATAGTAAATTATTCCTTTTCATTACACATATTTTTTTAAACCAGTCTCTAGGGAGTTTCTTTCTTTCTGGGGAAGAAAAGACTGAAATTTTTCCTTACTGCTTGTAGAATTTGTCCCAGTGGATAATACCATTATTGTATTATCTTGTATAAGTAAATTGGATAAATAAATTAGAATTCTATAAAAATGAATAGAACCTTAGTGTAAATAATTATACAAGGCAGCCTGCTGTTCATGTGTTGTAACAAACCAACACTAACGACATATTATGTGCCACGCTGCCAGGCTTGGTAACATGTTTTTTTTCTGTACAATTATAAATTATATTTATAACCAGTTAATGGTATTATTTGAGTTCCTTGAAAAGGTATTTGTCTCCAAAATAGCAATCAATACAAGGAAAATTAGTATGTCTTTATATGTGCTTGAATGTTTGAAGGAATGGACATGGTCTGAGGTCAATAAATGACGGTCAGCTATTTACACTTCTGAGAGTTTTCAAAGTCAGATTACACAGTCCTCTGAATTACAACAGTTTACCTATTACATGGCTTGAGGAAGATCTTCTGAGTGTTTCTGTGTATTACAGTTGCAGTGTCTTAGAGACATTTTGGTGAATGATTTGGTTTCTCTGTGTTTACCCTGTCTTGTTTATACTAGCTCCAGTGGCTGTTGGACAATTACGAGACAGCAGAAGGAGTGAGCCTTCCCAGAAGCACTCTTTACAACCACTACCTACGACACTGTCAGGAACACAAACTGGACCCAGTCAATGCTGCTTCTTTTGGAAAACTTATAAGGTCAATTTTTATGGGGCTACGAACCAGGAGATTGGGAACCAGGTTAGTACTAAAAATAGTATCATAAATTAATCTCCCTTTTTTAAACTATAGCTTTAAACAATATAGTTCAGTATATTGTTTGGGCAAAAGTACTTGATTACAGATAACATATAAAGAAAAACTAAAGAAAGCTCAGTTTATAAAATCCCCCAGGAAAAGGAAAGGTCATTATTCACTGAAAACTGCCATTCCAGTATGATGCATTGTCCTACTAAACATCAGCAGAGTAAACAAAGCTTTGAGAAAAACTGATTCTCAAATCACATAGAAATGAGCAGACCAAGCTATTAATGGAAGATTTATATATGATACTTTAAAAATTAGTATATATCACTGTCTTCTCTTTTGAAGAATAACTGTACTAAAGATGATGAGTAAAGTGACAAAGTTAAGTGGAAAACTGTGTATCTCTTGACTTGCAAAATTACTTTGAAATGTCTTTATAAAAAACTCCTCTATTTGAATAGAGTAAAAATTAAAGCTGAGTTTTTCATTTCATTTCTGGAGACCAATTAAAAATAATTTAGTGAACTTGCAGATTTGAGGTGTTTGAAGCTCTCAGTTAATGACCTGGTCCTTTTTAACTTCTTATTGGCCTTTTTAAAACTCTTGATTGTGAAGCCATGCATCTATGGAAGTAAAAATATAGTATAGTTCCATTGCAGAGAAACTAGTAATGTGAAGAAGACTTACTTTCTCTGTTCCCTTCCTTTGTAAATAGATATGAGTGTTTTTACTAATCAAAATATGCTGAAAATAATACTTAGAACTATAGAGCTTCATTTTTGCCTTTCTATAATTTTTACAAGTTATCATAACAAATATTTTGAATAGCTGAGCAGAATGATATGGATGTTTTTGATTTCCTAAATCTTATAAAATCCATATTTAGAAGTATAAAAATAAAGATCCTATACTGTATATGACAGATGATATACCTTTAATGAGTTATAAGTCACAGCCTCATAGTATTCTAGTAAAGCTTTTTAAATATTCTTAATAAAATAAACAGCCTCAGTAATTGACTTCACTATAAATTTATACAAGAAAAAAGGAGTGTGGCCATTTTATGATATTTACAAGGTCTATATGTAGTCAAAGTGTGAATATTAAGTGATTGTACAGTTTTCAGATTGCTGGAGGTTCGGTTCTCTCATAAATGTATTTTCTTCTATCTGTACTTGAAAGGATAGTAGTATATTTTAAACTGAAGAATATGATTGTTTATTTGGAGTAAAGGAACTAGCTTCCAGTTCTTTGAAAAAACCTTCTTGTTTCGCTAGTATTTTTTTCCCCAGAACCAGGAAAATCATTATTTGGGGACCTAACCTACTATATCCTAGCTGATGGCTCAGTAGTTATGCATACTGTGCCAATATTTTGAATCTCTGGGCTTTATTCAGCATTGTAATAGCTGTATTGTTGTGCCCGTTTTGTTACTGAAAGGGATTTCAATGGATCCTATTTTGAGGCTCCATTCAAACCTTGAAACACATCTTTAAAATAGAAACGGACAAAACTGGGGTTGTTTGGGTTTGTGAATGAGTAGAATCCATACTCTATGCTCTATAAGTACATATTGCAATATTGCAGCTTTTTCTTTCTGATGTTCTTTACTTCCCCCTCTCACTATGTAGCAATTGTGTATCCTGTTCCTTTTAAAATTGTATGTAGTCTTGTAATTAGAGATGGAAAACAAAGCCTAGAAGAATAAGGAGAAAAGAAATCCTAGGGAGAAAGTTTGAACAAATGCTGTGTTATGAAGCTAGCAGAACTCTAATGTAGAAAAACTGACAATGATAGGGGTGAAGTGCCAGAGGTTCTTTCTACCATGGAAACTGTGTTAGCATTCATTCTACTCCTCACCCAGGGAACAGAAAGAAAAGCAGTATAAATCATGAGGCAAACCAACACAGATTTTTTTTTTTTAAGTAAACCATAAACTGTTATTTATCCATCGATAAGATTATCTGGTGAATTCATTAAAACCAGAACCAAACTTCTGCTCAAGTTTCTGGAGCTAAGTAAAGGATAAGTAATATCACCATGTTTCTAAACAAAGGTAAATCAAAAGGTAGCTTTTGTTACATCCCATCTCCAAATTAAGTTTAAACAAAGAAGACCATGGAACATACTGATTTCCCCCAACCATCTTCAGTGGAATAGAAAGAACCGCCTCTCCTCCAACCCATCCAAGATTCCAGTTTATAGGAAACTGGAGAGAAACTAGGTACTTCGTGTATTTTGGGGTCTCACAAGAGAGATGTGATTTTACTTTGTATCTTTGTCATTGGCTACTCCCTCCTGTTCTCCAGTTTGTATGGGAACAGTTTCTGGTATTTTTTGTTTTTGTTTTTTGCTGTATTCTACAGTGGATCTTGGAGGCAAGATCTAATGTCTGCAAGTGGAAGGCATTAAGTTTTCATACTGGTTTATTTTGCTGAAACTATGTAGGTATTCAAATGCCCTATGTTTTTTAAACTAGCAATATTATTTATATAATAGATTTTAATGTCTTTTCAAATATATAGGATTCATCTAACGTGTGTTCTTCAATCTTGGAAGTAAAATTCTGTTTTATTTTTATATAAAATATTGAATCCACACTCCACTTGCATTTCTTCTTGTAAATGAAAGAAAAAGTTGGAAAGAACACTGATGTCTTGCTATATATAGACTTGAGAAAAACTACTATTTTCTCTTTGCAAAAATTTACATGTTTAAAATGTTATTTTTGCAAGAATTTGCAAATTTCATTCAGAGTAAAACTTTGTCATTTCTAATAACAAATATGGTCTTTCTCATGAACATGAGGAAGTTGTGACATTTTTTATCTAGGTGGAAATTTGCCATTTTCACCGAGAAATTTCCCCATGTCTGTTGTGACACATCTTATTCAGCTTGAAAAACATATGAATCCACAAAAACAGAGACTAATAAAATATGCTTTGAAATCAATAGATTAAATGCCTGCTTCTTTTTTAGGTTTCAAAATATTAAATAATAGACTTCACAACATCTTGTATCAATGAAGTTATCTTAATCATCCCTGCAGTAATAGAATTAAAAAAATACAGGACTTCTCCAAGACAGTAGAATTAAGATTTTTTTCTCTTTGTTCTGCATAACCATTTGATAATAAATTCCTAGTTAGTGTGCAACCCTTTATCCTGTTAATGAATATCCTGTTAATCTAATCTTCTAAATTATAGTTAAAATATAAAGTTGAAAATAAAATGTAACTTAAATCGAGCAAATGGATTCTGACTAATATTTAAGCAAAAGTTTATAAGGAAAGATTTTTCTTAGGGCCTTGAATTGATTGATTCAGAATCTTAATTTGATTCTTCACATGTAGCCACCATAAAAATATACAGGTGTCCAGAACAGGTAAATCATAAATATATAACATTAATATTTTGCCTTTATCTAATTTTTCCAAATATGAAATTAAATGGACATCCTGTATGATTAATATTGACTTGACTGACTTTTTGTGTCTCTGTTTATTGTTCTTTTATGAAGAGGAAACTCCAAGTACCATTACTATGGGATTCGTGTCAAGCCAGATTCCCCTCTTAATCGTCTGCAAGAAGACATGCAGTATATGGCTATGAGACAACAACCCATGCAACAGAAACAAAGGTAGACTCTGGAATTATCATTGACATGTCAAAGCTATGTATTTCTTTAGATGTTCTATCTCCTTATTTCTGAACAAGCAGAACAAATACCTAAGTGTGCAAGAATGTCGCTATTGCTGGTATGCTTTCACTACAGACAGTTCTCAAATATGATTTAGAATTTCATTCTATTTTCCAAATCTTTCACAATTACTTATCAGACAGCGTGTTTGTCGCCTTTAAGTAAATGTGACATCCCAAACTATTCAGATAAGGAAACTAAACACAAACTGTAAGGAGCATCTGGAGAAACTTGTCAGTATTCATGAGCTTCTTACTTGTTAATCTGCATATCCTGCAGGTCATTCTTTTTGACAGTATAAATTCTTGCAGAATGTTTGGGACATCTTACATTTTCTTTGACTCCAACTTTCCTAGGTGTATAATTGTAGATATTAGAGCTATAAGAGATCTTAAGCATTCATGAATGGATGGATGGATGGATGAATGGATGGATGAATAGAATCATAGATCTTAGAATTGAAAAATACATCAGTCTAGTCTGGCCCCTCAGCCTTGTGGCAGTCAAAGCATGAAGACCCCTGTTTTTTCAGATAAATCCCAGAGAGGTTAAATGATTTGTACAAGCCCATAATGCTGCTACATAGCCACGGGCCTTCTGTCTCCTGTGACTTATATCACAGTTTGGAGTAAAGTGAAAAATCTTTCCCTCTTTACCAGTATAGCTCAACCATGACAGTAGCTACAGTTTTTCTTTTCAATTGAACATGCAAAATTAGGTAGGAGAAAGGAGGACTGCACCTGGTGCAGTTGGCCTAATCCATTGATCAGTCTCCCTAAGCCATTGATCTGGGATGGTGAGTCACCGTGGTGAGATCTCCTGCACATCATACTAGCTTAATCAGAAGCCTTAGTTCCAAGTAGCTGCTGGAGAAAAAAGTATATCACACAGTAGTCCTTTATCTATTTAGTCAGAAAGCACCAATTGAGTCTCTACCATGTGCTAGGCCCTGTGTGCAGAGATAAGACACAGTCCTTACCTTTGAGGAGTTAAGAAATTAGATGAGAAGGCGCATGGGAATTTTTTTTTTAAGTAATACAACCTAAGAAATGCTAAAACAAAGCTTTGGTCAAGGAACTATTGGAGTACTTTGCTGAACTATTTCAGCAAAGTCTGGGAGAGGGAGGATTGGGAAGTTTCACAAAGAAAGTGCTATTTGAGTAGGGAATTAGAGGGATCAGAAAAAGAGAGGAACATTCAGGCAGAGGGAATGTAAACAAAATCACCACCGAGAGGGTCCATGACGTCTTTGGTGAATGCACTCTGATCTGGTGAGGTTGATATTGCAGGAGAAGAATTGAGAAGAAGACTGGGTACTTTAATGGGAGATGAGATTTTAAAAGTAGTTTGGATCATAGATGAAGGGATTTGGTTGTATATGAAGCTAATGAGTTTGTTCTTTGTGCTTAGATACTGTGCAAGTCTTCAAAGACTTGCTTCCAAGCAAAACAATGACACTTTCACATTTTTTCTAGAGAGATTACTTTTTGATTTGGGGCAAGACATATTTAGTGGGAAGAGACTGGAAATAAAGACACTTGTTAAGTGGCTTTAACACAGTCATAATTTCTAGTGAGAGTATTCAAGACTGAAGAGTCAGTTCAAGATTGGCTATTATATAAATTATTATGTTTTCTCAAACTTACTTTTTAAATTGCTGATTCCTGTTTTTTGAGGTGTAGTCAGTGAAATATACTAAGAAGGGGTCTGGGGAAAAAAAAGCCATAAAACAGTCCCTTGTATAGTTGGAGACAGAGTTTGTGTGAATTGGAATAAACTGTTGTTGTCATGAGTTACCATTATTGTTTCCACCTGTTAGTGGCAATACCATAGCTTTTACTTTCTGGTGTGGTCTCTGCGCTCATGCATAGCAGTACTACACATTGGAGATGTTGGTGCAATAAAGAAAAATAAGATTAATTCAAAAATAATATATACTCAAACTTAAATATGAGCAATACCTTGGTAAATTGCACTCAAGACAGCTGAAACTTACTTCGTCCAGTGATTTCACTGCAAAGAATCCTAGCAAGTTTTCATGGGAATGGAAACCTTCAAGAGACATTCTTTATACAAAGCCTGGGTTAGGTAAGCAAGACCAAGGAATTACAAAGGTCACCTTATGAAACAAATTTCAGGGCTATAAAGATGGATGAGCCATGAAAACCCTGCAATATAAGTATAGTAATTATTGCTTTTAGAATTAGACATAATATGGTTGTATTTAAAAAGTGATATAAAATTCTCGGTGATATTCATAAATTGTACCGACTTTAGTTTCTTATAGTGTTAGCTTTCTTATGAAATAAGAATGTTAGAGAACCAAAGTACTGAAACTTCCTTTAATTTGTTGTTGTTGTTTTTTAATGGTACAATTTTGGATTATGGACAGTTGCTCTTGGAATGGTGTCTTGGATAACTGCTTGAATTGTTAGTGTTATCAACTTCACCAACCCCTCACTGGGATTAGGACAGAGGGAGGTTTCTGTTGTCTCTTTGAAGGATTATATCACTGGTAACATTGATAGGCCTTAAGTGAAGCCAGTTACCGCATTTAGAGGAAACACTTGGACAGGAGAGGAAAAGTGTCTCTTCCTGAGTCTGGATTCAAGGGTTAAGAGTATTTGTTGAAAACAATGAAAAAGGGACTCATTGTACTGTTTGTTTTATGGCTTATAAAATAAGGTGATTCCAAAACTCAAATGATTCTACTGAATATATTAAATTTCACATTAGAAGAGCCTGCCATTCTCCTGTTAAAGTACAAGTGACATTTGAAAGGTTTAAAATATTTTATACTAGTATTTAATATTTTGGAATATTCAAATTGTTTAAATGCCTCAAGGTTTTTTGTATACATCTATATGTGCACATCTTCCGTAGTATAAATGTACATGCTTCACCTGTTCCTATACTAAGAAAATTCAATTATATGCAGTGATTACTTTATCAAATAAAAATTTGTACATTTTTTCTGATAAGTTTGGAATCATTGTAGTTGTAGCATTAATGATGGTTATTGTTTTGCATAGCTTTATAATTTTTAGAGCTCCTTTACATACGATATCTCATTTGAAGCTTTGATAGGGTAGTAGAGGAAATTTCCCCTTATCTACAAATCAGATTCCCAGCAACACCACCATATGGGAACATAACCATGAGTCTGGAAATAAATGGAAACAGCTTCTGACTGTAAAACAGATGTCACAGAGCCCTTAGTTTAGCTTAATTGAAAAGATGAAGCCATCCTCAAGTCATTTACCTAAAATAAAGGAGCAGATTAGAGCCCACTTGATTCATAGGCAATCATGAGATATAACAGCTGGCAGGAGGAAATATAAGTAGACTAGGGTCTTCGATTCACTTTTGGGTTACTCAGCTCAGCAGTCTGTACACATTCAGTGGAAGGACACATAGACCTAGGCATTCCAGTAGGCCCTTTAAGTATCACTATAGTGGCTAAAATCTAGTCTAACACAGTGTAATAACTATTTGGCATGTTGATGACATTATAGGTAATCAAGAAGAGGTTAACTACCCTGGTTAAGGAAACAGGAGAATGTGTAATAGTTGGTTTCTTTTAATGCCTTCTGTTGAAAATATTTCATGTGAAAATAACTTCTGCACTTAAATGAGGTAGTCTTCAGTTTTCAAGGAAATTCACTTATGGACTAATTTGCTTACCCTAATTTAGACAATAAATAAATTAGGTTATTATAGAGCAAAAAGGAGATGAGTAATTTTCAGCTTTACAAACTAAGTAAAAATGTTTGCAGCAGTTTATTTCTAATATTTAAAAGAAGCACTCAGAGAGTGTTGGCACATGTATGTCAGCTATTCTTCCAAATCCTAGTAGCAAAAGTGGTGGAATAGAGCCAAGTGTGTTTGACAATGTGCTTGGCTGTGTTTGATCCCAGTAGCCATTCTCAAAGTATTAAACTGCATATATCATTCCTTCAACAAATACATAACAATCAATGGTTGCATATAGAATATGTCCATCACAACTAAAAGAGAATTCACAGAATCATAGAAGTTAGAGCTGGAAGGGGGAGGTCACCTAGCGCACCTCATCCTCTTGATGAGAAAACCGAAGTCCATAAAGGATAGATAATGTATCCACGATAATATAGAAACCAGGACAAGAAACCAGTCCTCTTGTCTTTGTTCTTACAAGAATTCCGTCCTTCAAGAGGTAATATAACCCAAAGAGAAACGTGCACATGTAATAAAATTTAAGGGGAAAATCACACTTGAGTATGTCCTAAATAAGTGAGGAAATGTGCCACTTTCTGCCTCTGTGAATGGTCTTTTCATAGGAATTGGATTCTGTGAAAGAAGAAACCTTTGTGGCACTGAGGAGAGGAAAATAGAGGCCATTGGAAAGATGGGACAGCAAGGCTAGTTGGCTGTAGACAGATGTGAAAGCATGCGTGTTCCTAAGGAGTGAGGACAAGAACCTTTGTCATTTGAAGACCTTTCTTAATATAGTTTCATAGATTAGTGGAATGAACCTTATGTTTAAAGGTGGGAAATAGGGATTTGAATACAGGCTGCTTTGGCACTTCAGTGTGTGTGACTGAACTTCACTGAACCTCAGTTTCTTCATCTGCAAAATGGAAATAATAATAGACTACCTCAAAGATTTTTTTGAAGTTCAAGTGGAAAAAAGTATATAAAGGACTTTATAACCGGAAATATCCAAGTGATAGGATAAAATAATAATTATTATCATTATTATATGCACTAGAGAAAATATTTCTTTAGAAAATATTTCTTTAAGAATAAGGCTGTTTTGGAGAAGAATGAAGCCTGGCAATTGGGCAAGTTTGGCTTCCATTTCTTTGTACCTCCAGGCCTGTGGTTTCCAGCTGTGATTGATGTTGATAGTTTACAATTCCTCTCCTGGCCATAAATTCCCTGGGGTCATTACAGAGATA